AAGAAGAAGAAAGAAACAAGATTTCGAGACTTCCAACATTCCATTATTTAGAAAGCAGTGGATTGTTATATACTTGTTTATTGGTAGAGTTTGGTAAAAAGTCTCTGCTGCTATCAACATCTTCCGGCACTCATTGACCAAGAGTCTCTGCAGTTCCTTTCACTCCACATGCCACGTTCAAATATTGTACTATGATTAAATAAAGATCTGCAATGCATCGAATAAGATGGATTTTTGGTAACAAATTTCAAACTATGCCCCATCTTTCTTTCTTGTTCTTGCTGCAATGCTGTCTCCACATTAAAGGTTGGTGTTGTTGAGTCTGATGACCTAAACTTGACGTTGCTCTCCAATATTTCATACCAATTTTATCTACTTATTTTGCATTTTCTTTGTCAAATGTGATTTCTTTTCGCGTTATCACCACACTTTAACTGAACATTATATGGTTGAAATTTTGTGTGTTCTTGAGATATCATTCATTAAAGTAGGCATTAGTCCATATTTTCTGTCAAATTTTGAATTATAAAAGCATGTGTGAAATGGAATTCACAAATCTTCGTTTTCTTTATGACTATCAGTTTCTTTTTTAGGTTACTATTTGTACCGAAAACAAAATTTGTGAAAGAACTAATATTTTGAAATAAAAGGTGTTGAATTTGAATTGCAGTGAAACATGTCCTCTACAAAGGACTCAGATATACCATATCACTAATGTGCTATCCTCTGCTCGAACTCCTATTCTGTACACAAAGTTCAGACTTTTCACTAATCTGGCTGTGATGTTCAATTACAAATTAGTTTATAAAGACTTTAAAGGTTCATTAACATTGGGTTGTGACACTATTGAAAGCATGAGATCACACAGAATGAATCTCTTACACAGTTGCACGTTGGTCTAGAAAAACCAAACATTTCATGTAACCTTTCAAAAAGAAAACAGGACCCTCAAGGTACACCTGCTCCCAATTATAGAATTCTTTTACTTAATTTAACAAACCAATTAAATTCACAGAGGGGTCAATAATAAGTTTATCGGGAAGAGTGAGATTAAAGAACCAAAGTTTTCTTTTATAAGTAGTTACGTGAAAGGATCAAATTACTCATGGAGAAAACCAAGTTCACCCTTTTATTTCTTGTTACTTGTTGCTATTTCCTGTCCTTGTTTCCTACGGCTTTGGAAGCAGAGGATGAAATAACTCCTCCACAAACCATCAGTGGCAACCAGACACTAGTCTCACCTTCTCAAAATTTTGAACTTGGTTTCTTCAGTCCTGGCAATTCCACTCACATTTATCTTGGAATATGGTACAAGCGTATCCCAAACAAGACAGTAATTTGGATTGCAAATAGAGACAAGCCACTAGTTAACTCTGGTGGCTCCTTGGCATTCAGTGATGATGGCAAGCTCATTCTTCTAAGCCACACAGGAGGTGTTGCATGGTCCTCAAACTCATCTGGACCTGCAAAAAATCCGGTGGCGCAGCTACTAGATTCCGGAAACTTTGTGTTGAAAGACTATGGAAATGAGAGATATTTGTGGGAGAGTTTTGATTACCCATCTGACACATTGATACCAGGAATGAAACTTGGTTGGAACTTCAAAACTGGCTTGAATCGACACTTGACTTCCTGGAAAACCACTTTTGATCCTTCTTCGGGAGAATACACCTACAGTGTGGATCCACGTGGCCTTCCTCAGCTTTTCCTTCACAGGGGAAACAAGCAGATTTTCAGAAGTGGACCATGGTATGGACAACAATTCAAAGGTGACCTGGCTCTCAGTGCAAATCCAGTTTTCAAACCCATATTTGTGTTTGATTCTGATGAAGTGTCTTACTCCTATGAGACCAAAGACACCATCATTTCAAGATTTGTGCTGAGTCAGTCTGGTTTGATTCAGCATTTTTCATGGAATGATCATCATTCGAGTTGGTTTTCTGAATTTTCAGTTCAAGGGGACAGTTGTGATGATTATGGTCTTTGTGGTGCTTACGGTTCTTGTTACATCAATAGCTCCCCTATCTGCAAGTGTTTGAAGGGTTTTGAACCGAAGCTTCCGCAGGAATGGGAAAGGTCTGTGTGGTCTGACGGATGTGTTGGAAAAGACACACAGGTTTGCAGCAACGGAGATGCATTTCAGCAGTTTACAGGAATGAAGCTTCCAGATGCCGCTGAGTTTCGTACAAACTACAGCATCAGCATTGATCACTGTGAGAAAGAATGCTCTAAGAACTGCTCTTGTGTTGGTTATGCAAAACTAGATATAAATGCAAGTGGCAAAGGTTGTATTGCATGGTTTGGGGATTTGTTGGATATAAGAGAGGTTTCTGTGAATGGACAAGATTTCTACCTGAGGGTTGCAGCTTCAGAAGTGGGTAAGAACATTAAAGGTATGTGCTACCAATCCATGTCATGTTTTAGTCCAATTTTAGCAGTCATCAGAAATTTAGCCCACTTGTTTTTTGAGTAAGCCAACAAATACTATTTTAGTACAATAGTATAATTATCATATTAAAGTTTTTTTTTCTCAACAATGAAAGCAATTTCAGTTTTCCTCAAAACTTGTTTATATATTGTATGTTTTCTCTTTACATGTGGTGTTAGGTTCAAATGCTGATGGAAGTAAAAGGAAGAAAATCATACTTTTTCCTGTGGCTGCATCTGTAACTTCAACAATTATTGTATCAGCATTTTGGTTGATAATTAAGAAATGCAGAAGAAATGGAGGTAAATATAACTAGTAGTTCTAGTTTGAGAAGATATATCTGTCGTACTTTTTAAAATGTTGTCCTTTCATAAGCATTACTGATTAATCCTTGGCTATTTTGCTTCTTTCAGCAGCCAAACAGACCGGTAGTCAGTTTAGTGTTGGCAGAGTCAGGAGTGAAAGGAATGAATTTGAACTTCCAATGTTTGAGATTGGCATGATTGAAGCCGCCACTGGGAATTTCTCTAATTACAACAAGATTGGAGAAGGTGGATTTGGTCCTGTATACAAAGTAAACTATTCTCTCTGTGGTTAATTATTAAGAAAAATTATATTCCAAACAGTGTCATATACTAGTCTCTGACAACTGTCCTACATAAAACAATGTAGGGTTTCAACATCCGAGATCTCAAAATAGTTTTCCTACGAGAAAGGCTATTTGCCCTCGGTTTTACAACAACAATAATATCTTGGTTCTGTTGGATTTGTAGGGTCAACTTCCATCAGGACAGGAAGTAGCTGTGAAAAGGCTGTCAGAGAATTCTGGACAAGGCCCGCAGGAGTTCAAGAATGAGGTCATTTTGATCTCCCAACTTCAGCATCGAAATCTTGTCAAGCTTCTGGGTTGTTGCATTGATGGTGAAGATAAAATATTGATATATGAATACATGCCAAACCGAAGCTTGGACTCCTTATTATTTGGTTGGTTACTCAACTATTCCAAAATCACATCTACACATAGAAACACTTACTATGAGAAAACTCATTTAACTTTATCATAATATAGTGTGTAACACAAACAATATTCTGAATCAGATGAAACCAAGCGTTGTGTGCTCAGTTGGAAAACGAGGCTAGACATAATTATTGGCATTGCTCGGGGAATTCTCTACCTTCACAGAGATTCAAGACTGAGAATAATCCATAGAGACCTGAAAGCAAGCAATGTTCTGTTAGACGGGGAAATGAATCCAAAAATTTCTGACTTTGGAATGGCAAGAATGTTTGGTGGAGATCAAACTGAAGCAAAGACCAAGAGAGTAGTGGGAACCTAGTAAGCACTTAACTTTCCACTGTTTTTCTCTGAACTTAACTGCTAAAATCATTTTACCCTCTGCAATTGTTACAGTGGATATATGGCCCCGGAGTATGCAATAGATGGACACTTCTCTTTCAAATCAGATGTTTATAGCTTCGGGGTTTTACTCTTGGAAGTGTTGAGCGGAAAGAAAAACAAAGGATTTTTTCACCCAGATCACAAACTGAATCTCCTAGGCCATGTGAGTGAAGTGGTTAATGTATGTCTTTTGTTATCTTCTTGTTCTTATAATGTGACTGAATGAATAAGTTGAAAACGTGGTAGGCATGGAAAGTATGGAATGAAGAGAGGGCATTGGAGCTGATGGATCCATTGCTTGAGGGTGAGTTTTCGACATGTGAAGCTCTAAGGTGTATTAAAGTGGGTCTGTCATGCGTTCAACAGCTTCCAGAAGATAGGCCAACAATGTCATCAGTGGTTTTGATGTTGGACAGTGAGAATGTGTTGATCCCCCAACCGGGAAGGCCAGGAATATATTCCGAGAGGTTTTTCTCTCAGTCAAATTCATCATCACACGCTGCTTCCAATCACACAACTGTTACTTCGCTTGAGGGTCGTTGAATATGAATCAAATTTTCTTTCTCATTCAAAATTAACCAGATAATAGGAATCATCATGGTTACACTTGTTTTTCTTGGACTATTATTTTTTCTTCTCAATAAGCTTTTGATCACTAAGTCCGGAAATTTGTTGGGGGCAATTTTGGCTGTTTCTTAAGAATATTTTAGTTATTAAAAAAGTTAATTTTCATATTTGTAAAAAAAAAATATTATAATTGTAGAGGCAGCGTTAAAATTCTAGAGGCATAACAAACGTTACTATGGCCCATTGATTTTGGAAAGAAGGCAACAGAAAGAGCACCACCACCTATGGCGTCTGAGGCAGACGTTCCCGACCACTTAAAGTGTCCTATTTCCCCCCTAATAATGTCCGACCATTCTCACTTCCGGGCATACCTTCGACTGCTCCTCCATCCAACGCTGACTCGACGCCGGCCACCGCATTTGCCCAATTACCAAACTACCCCTCTCACAACACTCTTCCCTCATCCCCAACCACGCTCTGCGAAGCTTAATTTCCAACTACGCCCCCATAAACCCTCTTAACCATTCTCACCCCCACACCCTAATCTCCACCCCCACCTCTTCCCCCTCCTCTCCCCTCTCCAAACTCAACGCGCTCCGCCTCCTCATGAGCCTATCCCACGCTGACTCCCTCTTCCGCCGCTGCCTCTCCGACTCCCCCGCCTTACTCCCCGCGCTTCTCTCATGCCTCCACGATGCCTCCGCCCTCCGCCACCGCGCTCTTCGCTCTCTGCTCCTTCCCCGGCAACCGCATCCGGGCGGTCGAGTGCGGCGCCGTCTCCGCTCTCCTTCGGAGCGCGGATTCGGGCTGGAGAGGAGCGTAGAGATTATCGGGGTTTTGGCGAAGTGTAAGGAGGGGAGGGAGCAGATGGTACGGTTTGGCGAGTGCGTGCAGATTCTTGCTGGTGTGTTGAGGAATGGAAGCTCCAGGGGAGTTCGGTATGCTCTTAGGGCTCTCTATTCGCTCTGCTATCATAGTGAGGAAAATGTTCTTTAGTCCTTGAGAAATGGGGTTTTGCGTTGCAGGATGATAATGCCAAGGTCAAGAGGAATTCCTCATGTTTGATTCACCTTCTCCGTCAACACCCATTGGTTGAATTGAGATAACGAGTCTGTGAATGGATGTCAGCTGGATCTGGAATGAAGAAGGATCAATTGTAATGTCGTCTGTGCTGGTGAGTTGATTCTTTCTTCTTTTTCTTTTTTTCTGAAATTCCTGCTCTACAAAATGAGGGTTATTTTTTGTTGTACATTGGAAATAAAATAAAAAATGTACCAGTTATTTCTTGTTAGCAGTCATAGGAGGAAGCTTTCCTGTTCAGCCATAGGACACTGGATTGTAATGCTTTGATGTCTGAAAAATTCTTTGAATCCAAGCAAATTTACAATACTTGGTTATCATATCATTGTCAGGTCAATAACTTTCCGGCATTCTATGCCAATCCAAGCTTTCATTTGAGGAGGGCCATCTCCTAAAAACTTACATCAGAATTTGCCACCGAAACATGTAAAATACAGAAGTTGCAACAGAAGTATGTAAAAGTAAAACCTTTCACGCAAAGCTTTTGAAAACAAGCTTTTAGCGATCCATTTAATTAATGCATTGGCGAAATATTCCTGAATCCTAATGTATGACAAGTTGGGAATCAATTTGCATCTGGTTGGATGGTAGTACTTTCTCAAATGGTTCTCTCCCTCGGACATGGGACGTGGATAGAGAAGAGTCTGTGAAGAACAAAAATAGTGAGAGTGACTGTTATTTTTTACTTCTATTTATCTTTATTTTTTATTAAATCAATCAAATTTCAACATTTTAGAATATTTTTTTCTCTATTTTTCACCTATTTCTACACTAAAAAAAAGTGAACATACAATTTTATTTCTTAACCACGTTTCTTTTTTCAACTCTTTTTTCAACTCTTTTTTCCTATTTTCATCTCTCTTTTATCCAAAAAAATGTTTCTCGATAAGAGACAATTTTCTGTCCGCAAAATTAATTTGCCAACAATATTTTATATTCAAGGGCAGTTTCGATAGAAGAATCTTTTGAAGAACTATAAACAAAAAATTTGAAAATGTTAGTGTATCGTATGGCATTATTATCCTCTACTGTTTATTTTGTCTTCAACTTTTGTGGAACTAAAAATCGAAAATTGCAGGAGAGTTTCTTACTGCCATTGACTGTACTTCAAACGTGTAAAATCTGTCGGGTTGAGAATTTTTCACATGCAGGTTTGTTTAGTCAAATAACATATTCAGGTTTGTATATATATATAATACAAAATGAATAATTTTTTAAAGGCCTGTCTTCATAAATTTTAACTGGAAATTTATAAGTCAGTAATGATCGATTTGAATATTTACTCAAAGTTTTATAAAAATTTAAAAACTCAACTTGAGGGTATCTAACAAGACTAGTGGATTATAGAAATGAAATTAGGTGAAACAGATTAAATGGGTTACCCATAAAGTTTAAAAACCAAATTATTATTCATTCATAAACAGCCGAATTATACTAATCAAAGTGAAGGATTTGAAATCATTACAATTCCCACTTATTTAATATCCATTCATAATAGTTTTAAAAAAGTAGAGGAGTAAGAAGTTTCCTTGGCACAACTATGGCTCATCCAAGTCATATATATATATAAGTATGTTACTATAGTTTACAATAATAGGAATAATAAATCATGAGTGAACAAGGACGTGATTTCAACTACTCCATGTTCGTGTGATGTAAGTTTGAGTTTGACCCGCCAATCATGCATCATCACCCACCATTTCTTGATTAATTAAAAGACGTAACGCATGATAAAACATAAAATAATTGACGAAAGACAATAATGATGGAATAAATAAGTTGTTGTGCACTTAATTAATTAACTACCAAGTTGAATAATTCGTTCCTATGATGTGGATCAGAGTTCTTAATTCCTGATAAACATTTCTGTATTGGACTTATCTTAAACGTACATCATTCCCGTAATAAGATACACTATATAACTAGGTACCTTAGCTAAGGTTTCATTCGCAACACCTTTTGGTTTTCACAGAGACGGGGGAGACAAGACATTAGCAGTCACTGACAATGGCTACCAAGGTTTATATCATGTAAGACATTCTAACTCTCTTCTTTTTTTGTCTTACTTTGATGGCTAAGTCGTGAGCAATACTCCAGTTTCATGCCTTGTATTCTTAGTTTTGTCCTTATTGAAGGAATCAAGGTTTTCGTATTGATGTAGAATAGCGATGCTGTTTTTTCCGTTTTTTCCTTAAAAATTTGGGAATTCTGCCCTTTCTGACCAACACAGTATTGGAACGTGGTTCTTACTCTTGTTGCTGTTGAACTCGTGTGGAATACAATGGAACCAAATTAAATCATGACGTAAATAGCATAATCCTGAAATCAAATTTGTTCGAGCGTGGGAAGGAATTATAAGTTTTTGAATTCTTACAATTGCAGCAAAGGAGGAAAATTTTTTGCTTAGATCAGTTTTCATTTCTTTATCCTGCTCTCCTATTTTAGCTTTTGGAAGAAATACAGGCAGGATGTTGTAACTTGGACAGGGAATGTTTACATTGAACTGTATATTCATTATAAATTGATTTAACATCTCGTTTTTAATCATAACTTCAAAAACAAAGAAAACAAAAAGATACAGAATCTTGCCTCTGAAATTTGAGGGGTTCAGTGTCAGTTGGTGAGTTCCAGCCTCCATTATCCCAAAAATGAATAATCTGTAATCATTTCGTGAAAGAACAAGTAAAGCCCCACCAATTTTGACTATAATAGAGAGTTTCTAAACTAACTCCATCAGTTTCTAATAAATTTTTATAATAGTGTATTTATGCTGTTCCAGAAGTTATAGTTATCATATAATCTGATTGGAATATGCATTGCATGTTTAGTTATTATTCTACGTATGGACATGTTGAGAAGCTAGCCAGGGAGATAGAAAAAGGTGCTGCTTCTGTGGAGGGAGTTGAAGCAAAACTGTGGCAGGTTTGTAAACCTTTTTCACCAGAGTGTTGAAATGTTCATGGCAATATCTTTAAAATGATGTTTGAGTCTATGTATCTAAACATACAGGTACCAGAAACATTGCCTGAAGAAGTACTTGTGAAGTTGGGAGCACCTCCAAAGAGTGATGTTCCGGTTATTACTCCCAACGAGCTTCCTGAGGCCGATGGCTTTCTGTTTGGTTTTCCTACGAGATTTGGATCTATGGCTGCTCAATTTAAAGCATTTTTTGATGCAACTGGAGGCCTATGGCGGACACAGTCACTAGCAGGAAAGCCTGCAGGCTTCTTCTACAGCACTGCTTCTCAAGGAGGTGGTCAGGAAACTACCCCGTGAGTCACTGAATTGTTCTTTGATTTTCTATATATCAGTGCTTATAAGTTAGTATATGAAAGTTTGATATGTATAGAATCGTTTTTTGATTGTATAAACAGGTTGACATCTATTACTCAACTAGTTCACCATGGAATGATTTATGTGCCGATTGGATACACATTTGGCGCTGGCATGTTTGAGTTGGAGAAGTTGAAAGGTGGGTCCCCATATGGTGCAGGAACTTATGCTGGGGATGGCTCAAGGCAGCCTAGTGAGTTGGAATTGGCTCAAGCTTTCCATCAGGGAAAGTACTTTGCAGGCATTGCAAAGAAGCTCAAGGGATCTCAATGACTCCGCATCCATTACTGTTTTCTCAAATAAAATAATATTTTGAAATACAAGTGTGAGAATAAATCAATACTTCATGTTCATTATAGTTGTTTCAACTTTTCATACTTATCCTGTATCCCGTATTGTGGTTATATGAGTATCTTTCTCAGTTGATCCAATGACAGATAAAAACTACCAAGAAACTTTATTCCTCGTGGTGTTTGACTTGAGCATTATAGATTTTGGGAAATGGCGACAAACAAATCTATTGAAACATGATTTGGAACGAATCCTTTACTAAGATAATTTTAAGTGTTTAAAGTATGAGCTTACATGACACAATCTTAAAGACTAAAACACATAATACATATAAGTATAAATAGATTCAATTTAAACTACTCATTTAAGGACTGTCTTGGAATAAAAGAGAGATTGCAAAGGTGCCCAAATAACAAATTGAGGTGTCCATACAGTTTGGGCAATCACGGTATAATTTTTCATACTATGAATTTGAATAATAAAATAACCAAATATCAACGACATATGCATAAGAGTAAGTGATTTGATATTTGGGATTTAACATCGTTCAGTTTCCTAAAATATAATTCTTAATTTCTCATCCAATAAAAATCTGTTCTTAATTTCTTATCGTTTTTAACTTTAATTTTTTTTAATGAAAGAACTTAAAGTTTCTAGATTATTATCATAAATTATTTAGGTTAGTATAATCAAAAGTAGTGTTGTCAAAATGGATTCGAATTTGTGGATCAATCTGACCTATCATAGAGTTCAAGTTGGGTTGGTGAGTTGGATTTACTTACCAACTTACCCAATTTGTTATTTTTAAGTTATATTATTAACATCATTTGGATTGAAAATTTCAATTAGATTTTTTCTTAGAATTGAAAAAAAAAAACTTGTAATTAAATAAGTTAGTGAGTCAATTCATTTAATCCATTAATATATGGTCAGGTAAGTCGAGTTCGAATTTTTTAAACTCGTTAATTAGTAAATCTGGTTAAGTTGATTTACTAAATAATTAACTCGTGATGAACCACGTCGAGTAACCAAAATATTTGTTTTAGATACGAAACTCTCATAAATATTAAAATGAAAACAAAATATACATTTATATTCTCTCGTACCTAATTAAAAAATTAAATCTTATTTATATGCTTATCTATATTCAATAATATATATTTCTTTATTAAAATAAAAACAAGTTTAAATAATATTCATAAATAATATTTATTTTTTTGGTAAAATTTCATTTAACTAAAAGAAATAAATAAAAATGAGGGGCGATCTCATACAATTCCATGTATATTGTTGTGTAGTTAATTAATTAATAGCAAAGTGTTGCATGGATGAGATATTTCATTTCAAAGTTTAAATATTTTATGAAAAAAAACCTGAAAGAAATTATCCAAACATGACCAATAGGTAGAGCTTTCAAAATGGGTAACCCGACTCGACCCGGTCTGGCTCATCACGGGTTGGTCATTTAGTGAGCCAACCCAACTCGACTCACTTAGCGAGTTGAAAAAATTTGAATCTGACTCGATCCACCACGGGTTGGTGGGTTAAACGGGTTGACTTACTGGTTCACTTAATTATAAGATTTTTCTAAAATAAAAAAAAGTTATAATTTTTTTAATTCAAATTTAAATAAATTTTATTCTAAAATAATATTAAACTCCAAAGACAATTCAAAATATAAAAAAAATATGATACACTCCAAGCGTAATCCAAAAACAAACATTTGATGATTTTTGTATCACTTATCCATTTATAATATTAGAGACCTGAATAGATAAATTTATAATATTTTTCTCTCTTGATACATCTTTTTTTTATCTCATCTACAATATAATAAAAAATATGGTAACTAATAATATTGAAACACAAAATAATAAATAATTAAATTAAATTATATGGGTTGGTGAGCCAATCAGGCTTACCACAAGTTCAACCCGTGTGAACAGGGTTGTAAGTGAGTCAGGTTGTGAAAATTAATTCGCATAAAAAAATTATATTTTTTTTAAATCCAATCCTGTCCGGTTCAAACCTGTGGTGAGTCAGGTTTACTTGCGGTTTAGAACCCATTTTGACAGCATTACCAATAGGATAGTGGTTAAGACAGAAAAATATTTGATAATGAAAAACAATAAGAAATTACTATAAATAATTGTGAAGTAGCGTTGAACATGGACGGGGATTTCAATTCCTCCACCATTTCAAGATTCATCCACCAACAATGCCTATTAGCCACCATCACCTTCTAATAAAGTTAATAACTAATTATAATATTAACATAATAATAATAATAATAAATAATAGTAATTATTGACAAAAGACAACAATTGTCAAATAAGTTATTGCATGATAACCAAGATCGTGGTTCCTATGCATTGGACAAGAGTTAATTAACATTTTTTTTCCATAATAAGTTATGGGCACTTCATCATAAGGCTGCTGATAATATTTACTTTTAAAAGTTATTTAGTAATTAATAGTATTTATATAATAACCTTTCAAGCACAAGGCGGCTAAAACAGTATATTTAAATTAAAAAATAAAAATTCAGTATATTAATATATCATATAATATATATATATATATATATATATATATATATATGCATAATTTTCATTATTAATGGGAAAGTGTATTGACAATTAAAGTGTCTCTTTTCCTTAGAAAATAAAGTTCGATCCGATCAGAAAAATAAAACCAATCTTGTTTTTAAGGTCCCGTTATTTTTTCCACCTAAAAATCAGTCATTAATTAATTAAATGTGTTGTTTTCCAATATTTTAATTATCTCCAAAATTAGCTCATAAAATTCAAAAGGAAAATTTTCAATAAAATATTATCATTATTATTTTAATGAATATTATTTTTTTAATGTCGTTGTCAAGAAGATTTCACGCGAAATTTGATTTTAAACTCAAAAATATTGTGGGTGGTGACACTATAAGAATGGTAGTTGTCAATGTGTTATCATTCAGTAATACATTTTGATTTCCAAGGTCAGCCGTACAAATTTTTAGCAATGGTTACCAAGGTTTACGTTGTGTAAGAAATATTCTATCTCTTTCTTGTCACTGTTATGGTTAAGTCTCGAACAATACTCCATTTTCATTGAATTATACTTCTTTCGTTATTAATCACTTTAACACAACTTAAGTGGAGAGAATGAGTCCTTTTTATTCAGATTGTAACAAATAGATTAAAATCTAATTGACAATGTTTTAGCTTCTTTTTCTATCTCAAACGCATTTTAGAACTTCTCAATTGTACTATAATTACGACAAGAGAGAATTCAGAATATTTATTACTGCTATTAAGACAGAACAAATACTAATCTAATTGAGAATTCCAACGAAGAAACCCAGTTTTACCAATAAAGTGTTTCTAATAAATGTTTTACATTGATCAGTTTTCGTTAATCTGACAGCAATTTTCATCGCATGTGTAGTTACTATTCTACGTATGGACATGTTGAGAAGCTTGCTAAAGAGATAGAAAAAGGGGCTGCTTCCGTGGAGGGAGTAGAAGCAAAACTGTGGCAGGTTTGTAATCCTTTTTCATTTCTTAATATTTGCGAAAATAAGCGATACTTTCCAATTTAGCAGAATTCTAGGTGTGTGGATGTTTTCTGATACAGAAAGAAAACAAGAGTACTAAAACTTTTCAGCATGTTGGAAATTTTGTTTCTGCTTAGGTGCCTGAAACACTGTCGGAAGAAGTTCTTGGGAAGATAGGAGCACCACCAAAAGGTGACGCTCCTACAATTAAACCTCGTGAGCTGGCTGAGGCAGATGGTTTGTTGTTTGGTTTTCCCACAACATTTGGAGCTATGGCCGCTCAATTTAAAACATTTTTGGATGCCACTGTAAGCCTATGGCGCAAGCAGGCACTATCAGGAAAGCCTGCTGGCTTCTTCTACAGCACTAGTTCTCAAGGAGGTGGACAAGAAACTACTCCGTGAGTCATAGAATATTTTGTAGAATAAAGATGATTTGAAACACCTAAGTATTTTACATTTTGACACTGTATTTACTTACTTTTTAGTACCATAATATTTTAACAATTTTTTTTAACAACGTTTTGACAATAGACGATGTGTCACTATTTTATTGGTCCGCATATTTGAAACGGACCAATCATATGCTACCACATAGGTAGTTGTTAAAAAGTTGTCAAAAAAAATTGTTAAAGAGACATTTTTCTACTTTTTATTCGTTTCTTTCTTGAAACACCGTAAAAGTTTACACTTTTCTTACTATTTTACCCTTATAACTTGTGTCAAATGAACGTAAAAGTATGTCATAGTATCATTATTACTCTATTTTGTATTCAACTATCAATTATTATTAATGTTAATTTTCTGAGTGTTTTTCTTTTCTGTTGTACTACCTACATACAGGTTGACATCTATTACTCAGCTTGTTCACCATGGAATGATTTTTGTGCCCATTGGATACTCATTTGGCGAAGGGATGTTTGAGATGGAGAAGCTGAAAGGAGGTTCCCCATACGGTGCAGGAACTTATGCTGGAGATGATGGCTCAAGGCAGCCAAGTGAGTTAGAATTGGCTCAAGCTTTTCATCAAGGAAAATACTTTGCAGCCATTGCAAAGAAGCTTAAAGGATCTCTTTGATTTTAATTTATCATAATATATATGTCTGTGTGTGTCACCATGTTATGTGTTCAGTTCTGTCAAACAAATAAGATGTTGTAGTAGCAAAAATAAAATAAAAGTAGGTGTGAGAGTAAGATGAAAAATAATTGTTTTCACTATGTATCTGTGATGCAGTGTTTAAAAGTTGATGTTTTTAAATTTTGAGGATTTTTTTTTGTTGTTTTTTTTATGTTAAACTCTATAAAAATTAAAATTATTGGCTTTAATTTATATTAAAAATTGAAAATTTTTAAATATTACGCTAATTCCTAATATTTATTTTAAGATTTATAAATAAATATTTTTAGGAATCTATTTATTAAAATTATTATGTACGTTGTATGACCTAGTAGCAGAGTCGATTGACAATTCGTATTATTATATAACAAAGTCATGTTATATAGTAGGTAGTGTTGTCAAAATTGTTAGAATATGGAGGTTAATCCAGCTCATCATGTGTTTATGTTAGTGAAATTGTTTATACTCGTTAATTTTTAACATGGTTCACTTAAAATCAGGCTCACACGAGTTACCAATCCACTTAATTTAATTTAATTATTTATTATTTTATGTTTCAATATTATTAGTTAATATTTTTGTATTGTATTGTAAATTAGATTAAAGAAGAAGATGTTTCAAGAAAGCAAAATATTACAAATTTATCCATTCACTCTAATCTTATAAATGGATAAGTGACACATAAATAGTCAATATTATAAACTTATTTATTTGTTTTTTAAGTTTGCTTTTGGAATACATTTAAGTTGTGTGTTAATTTTTTTTATTTTGAATTGTGTCTGGAGTTCAACATAATTTTAAAGTGAAACTATTTAAATATGAATTACAAAAAAATTGTAACTTTTTTGGATTAATAAAAAACTTGTAGTTAAATTTGTTTAACTCACAAACCCGTAATGAGTTACACTGAGTTCGAATTTTTTCAGCTTGTTAATAAATCAATCGGATCTAATTAACTCATTAAGTCATTAACCTATAGACCGGACGGTCCATTTTAACAGTACTAATAGTAAGAAAGAAAAAAATAACGAAATATAAAAAGAAATTTGCTAATTTTTTAACAAACATACTAACAAATATTCTTACAAATATAATGCGTAACGGCAATAAAGTCTAACAAATATTCTATTAAAGAAAGCAACACTACAAATAAGAAGATCCTCTTCTTTGGCAAGAATATCCTGTTGAAGAATGCACCCGCTCTGAGATTTTTAATTTATTAATAGTTAAGAAAGTGTCACATTGGATTATTCTCTGTTGTTTCTTTCAATTTATGCGATAACTTTATTTCCACCAAATTTTCATAATTTCAAAGCTAAATGGAGTTATGATATGATAGGTTCGAATAAGATAGATATGACGGGACAAAATTGGCCATGTGATGGTCATACTTCGGAATGATTTAATTCTATAATAGATTTGAACGAAGATTGCAAATTAATTTCATGATACGTTTCTATTATATTCCGTATAAATTTGGAGTGAAAACTAATTATAAATAACTGAAATTAGAAAATTTTAAATCACTTTATCATCTCTTCCTACTTTGAAGAAAGCTTTGCGCGCTTTGAAGCCCAGTATGCATGTATTGCTGGGCCAAAACTGTAAGCACACTGAGCATATCCTTGCGAATGAAGCCCAAAAGCAAGTTGGGAGTTTCTCCCTGTAACCCCAAAGCTTTATCCTGCACATTCAATTTTCTTCAAAATGCTAAAATTGGTCCGCGATAAAACTTTTTACTTTGGAAATTGATTTTGACAAAATCGGATTTCGAAAACTGATTTTTATTTTTTAATTTTAATTTAATTTTTTTAATATTTTAATTTTTTAAAATAATAAATTTATAACTCATATTCAAAATTATTAATGAAATAAAAATAAATAAAATATATATATTAAATTTGAAATAAAATAAATTTAAAAAAAACAGGAATAAAAATTTCAAAATTTGACTGAGTATTTATAAATTTCGAAATTTGTCTGAGTTTTTATAGAATTTTAAAATTTGACAAAGATTAAATTAAATTTTGAAATTCGATAAAGACTCAATATAATTTCGAAATGTGTTGAATGTTTTTTTTACTTATAACTATTATCCAACTAAATAAATAAGGATATTTTTGATAACTTGGAGATGATGCAAAGAAAAACTCTCAAGCAAGTTAAGTTGATAATACAATATATCATTATCTTAAAATTAGGTTATACATAAATTAATTTGATAGAATATTTATATATAAGTTAATTTTAATCTATAAAAGATTGTATTATGTTTGTTTAGAAATGAATATTGAGAAGCTTATCCGATAAAGAGTTTTTAGTGTAAATTTGGCATACGATAATCGTAATTATTGTTGTGAGAAATTGGGACGAAGAGTTAATGCTTAAGTCAGAATGTGTACTTAAGATGATTTTTGTCCTTTTGAAAAAGAGAAGATTTGAGTGATAGTGGTGAGAATACTAAACGGTATGGAAGAATCAAAAAAGAAGGAGAACTTTTTCTGAAGGTGGAATCGAGAACAACAACTTGCATTAGAAGATTGGCCTTCTAATTGATTAGCCAAAACAACAAAAGAAAGATGTGTGAGGAGTCATAATACCAATGCTTTATTAAATCGCAATGATATGCTTTCTGTCTTTTTCTTTCCCACTTTATCAAATTCCTTTATGTATGTATCTTCTTTTGTACTAAGTTACCACACACACCAATATTTCATATATCATCTCCAGATGCTTCAAGTATGCTAAAATCAAAATTATAATACTTCCCATTGCATTTTTAATTACTAAAGTTTTACTTTTTCATCATTACTCACTTCTCATACACCCATTCTTCACCTTTAAGTTTATTCTTCTTCTCATTATTTTACTTCTTCCTTGCTCCAACCTTATTATATCACCTTTTAAATACATCATTCCTTTTTTTTTTCTCCCCATATGTCAGTTCTTTTGCTAATCATGCTTAGAGGAATTAAACCAGTTTATGACTCTCTAAAAGGTTTAGTTGTCCATTATTAAAATAACACAGTGTTTATCCACACTACTTCTCTTTTTAAATATTACAGGACAAACGTATTCTACACCTGTCAAAAATTATATATATTATCACTTTATAGTGAGGTGATACATTATTATATTTATTTAACACATAATACAAAAATAAAATAATTATAAAAAAATAAATTTTATATATTTTTAAAATAATAAAAAATTAGTATCAAATAAATATAAAAAATTTATATATATATCACGTTATATTTTTCTTTTTCGAAAGAAACCTGATGCTAAATACTTGGAATAAGAGTTGTTATCACAGTAATTCTATATAAATGGAATAAGACAAAAGAATGCACCTGAATAAAAGAGAACTCGCTTTGTGTTACTTTTTTTCTCTCTCTGTTCTTCTACTACTTTCGTGTTTGTCTTTATTGTACGATTTCTTTAATGTTTAAATTAAAAAGAAAAAAACTAAATTATCGAATAATTTTTTTTTAAATTGAAAATTTTAAAAACTAAGTGAAAAAAAGGATAAAATAAAAATAGCTTAAGAACATTTCAATAATAATAACAAGTAATGAGATCTATCATGTCGTCATAGTCATTTATAATAATTTATACAAAATTTTCATCTTTTCAGCTAGAATTGGACAGAACTTAATTCTTAAATTTCTTCATGAAAAAAAATTGTCTAGGCCTTCATCAGTTCTATTTTGGACCATATTTATAATCGATATAAAATTTAAAGAAACCTCTATGCTTCCTATAGAAGTAAACCTTTAAACATAACAACTATATAGAGTTTTATATATATATATATATATATATATATATATATATATAGATATATATATATATATATGGGTTTTAGGTTTTACGGTATTTAATTTGGATTTAACCTAACCAAGATCCAAAAGTCAACTCATGAGAAAGAGTTAAGTCTTTATAAGCTCTATTTTTGTCCATGCCTATGATTGATGTGAAAATTACAATAAAATGAAATAAATAAAATAAAATATTTTAATTGTAAATAAACAAACTAAAACTAAAATATTGATTTGTAAAATACTAACAGGATTTTTAGATAAATTAAACATACTAATTTAATGCACACAAGTTGTTATTTTTGCTTAATGCTGGGAATCCATGAAAAACCAGCGACACTGCTAAACATGCAAATAAACAAAGGAACTCGTTGCCCGTAGAATACGGGCTACAAAGATGTGTTTAATATACCAATTACCAAAGTAAATATTTAATTTTAATTGATTGGAAAATAACGCAGGAAACATTTAATCAATGTACCTAATAATGGTAAAGAAAAATAGGATTGAAATAAATTAGATTTAAAAAAATTTCACAACCTCACATCGTACCTTGTAATCTGAATATTTATAATAAGACATAAGCATTATGATGGGGAAGATAATAATTTAGAAGGATGGAGCATAATGATTGAAAGACAAAGACAATGATTTGATTCGTGCTTGAAAAGCCATACGCCGCGTGCCCTCGCCTATAACTTATTCATAATTTATAATTAGCCACACTATTTCGATGAGTAGACAAAAATAAATAACCCTAAAACGGGAAAGTGGCAAGTAAGCCACTATATGCATGATCACACTACCACCTTTAATCAAATGAAAGAGTATAATCAATTAACCCAAAAGCATTGAACTTGAAAACGATCTCTTCAAATTATAAAACTAATCAAAGTTGGTGCAACACCCCTTTAAAGATTCAATATAGATATAGATAGATATACATCGATCAGCAGGAACAAAAGGCGTTTTAACTGGGTAGCCCCATCTGCTAAATTCAGGCATATAACAGTGACTCTAAGAACAGCAGCAACAAAAACTCTGTAATCTAACGTGTCAAATGCCTCTGAATTTAGCACTTGTTCCTGCCACTCATCGACTTTAATAATTAAAACACTATTGCTAGCTAATCTATTATTC